AGAAAAGTGACACCCCAAAGATCCCGTAACAGTAAGAGACCAGAAATAAGCCCTCACATTTATGGTCAATTGATCTTTGACAGGGTGCCAGTACAATTCACTGGAAGAAAAGTAGTCTTCAACAAATGGTGAAGAAACAATTGGGTATTCATATGCAAAAGAAGTTGGACCCCTACCTCACATGATATATAAAAATTAACTCAAAATATATCTAAGAGATAAGTGTGAGAGCTAAGCCTATAAAACTTTTAGAAGAAAATAACTCAAAATATATCTAAGAGATAAATGTAAAAGCTAAACCTATAAAACTTTTAGAATAAAACATAGGAGTAAATCTTCATGACTTTGAATTAGGCAAAAATATGACATCAGAATCATAAAAATAAAATAAAATAAACTGGACATCATCAAATTTTAAAGCCTTTGTGATTAAAGGACACCACCAAGAAAATGAAAAGACCACCCACAGAATGGGGGAAAAACTGTAAATCATACATCTGATAAATGACTGCATCTAAAACACACAGGATTATTACAAATCAATGATAGAAAGACAAAGAATCCAATTAAATGTGAGCAAATTATCTGAATATACATTTCTCCAAAGAAGATTCACAAATGGTCAATAAGCTTATGAAAAGATACTCAACATCATTTGCCATCAAGCAAATGCAACTCAAAACCATAATGAGGTATCACTTCATACCCATTAGAATGTCTATCATCAAAAAGAAAGATAACAAAGAGTGTTGACAAGGATGTGGAAAAACTGAAACCCTCAAACACTGCTTCGGGGAATGTAAAACAGTGTAATCACTTTGGACAAGTCTGGCAGTTCCTCAAACAGTTAAACAGAATTTCCATCTGATCCAGCAATTCCACTCCTAGTCACATACCCAAGGGAATAAAAACATGTCCACACAATAGCTTGTACATTAATGTTCATAGCAGCATTATTCATAATAGCCAAGAGTGGAAACAATTCAAATGTCCACCAGCTGATAAATGGATATCTATAATGTATTATATCCAAACAACATAACATTATTCTGCAATAAAAAGAAGTGAACTACTGACACAAGCTACAATATGAAGGAACCTTGAAAGCATTATTCTGTCAGAGAAGCCAGTCAAAAAGGAATACATAGTGTATATTTCATTTGTATGAAATAACCAAAATAGGCAAATCTACAAAGACAGAAAGTAGATTAGTGGTTGCCTAAGGCTAGGGAGCTTATGAGGAAATTGTGGGTGAGAGCTGAAAGGTATGAGATTTCTTTTGAGGGTAATGAACACTTCTAAAATTGATTGTGGTGATGAATGCACAATTCTATGATTATACTAAAAGCTACTGAATTATAAAAATAAAAAATTATCTAGAAATCTAATAATGTCCATCATATCCCAATTGTTTCAAATACTTATTTAATTTATCTTTATCATTAGTAATACAATCAGAATCACATAAGAGAGAACCACGAAAAGAACCTGGGTGTCTGACTTTTAAGCCAACAATCCATCTACTACATACCTGGATCTTCTGCTATTGAATAAAGAAAAGCCCCCAATCCTTGGTCAACTTACATATCTGGTCAAATGTCCATGCCAAATTTCTACAGGATAATTTGCTCCTCTAGATACTGTTATCCTGGTAAATAATAAAAGTAACCTGAAAATTATGAAAGATTCTCACTTATTGCAGATGGGAACATTTGGTGAGGGGAGGAGGGTTATAATGAATAGTCTAATTTCTAAATATATGCCATTATATGTTCTTCTCTATTTTCTTGCATTCCAGGTCTCCTTAACTAGATCTTCTCTACTAGAGTACAAACTGGGTTTTCTGTATTACCCATAGCCAATGCATTAGAAATCCACAGTCTTTCATACCTTGCCTTGTCAGACTACACACACATGGAATAGGGTACCATAAAGTCCAGAGGAGAGGGGATCTAATATCTTACTTCTTCATATTTATTTTGTGTAGCAGTCAAGATCTGAGGTTGTTCGCACTTGTCTTTCATGGTGCCTGCTTGGCTCTCTTGCAAGTGTATTTTCCTTCCTTTCGTTTCTGCTCTAAAGCTTTTTAATAAACTTTTGCTCCTGCTTTAAAACTTGCCTTGGTCTCTCCTTCTGCCTTATGCCCCTCAGATACATTTTTCTTCTGAAGACACAAGAATTGAGGTTACTGTAGACCCATATGGATTTGCCGCCAGTAACATATTTCGGTGGCATGTAACTTGGATACCCTCCACTGCCAACATACTTTGGTGCCTTGTGACTCAGATAATTTCTACTGCTAATACACTTTGGTGCTGTGTGACTCGGATATGTTCCCTAGTGGTAAGACCTCTATGCCTCACCTTCTTTGGCTAAAGGCATTCGACCCCTGTACATGGTTTTCTTCTCCCCTTTTATTTTATTTATTTATTTATTTATTTATTTATTTATTTATTTATTTATTGAGATGGAGTTTCGCTCTTGTTGCCCAAGCTGGAGTGCAATGGCACAATCCTGGCTCACTGCAACCTCAGCCTCCTAAGTTCAAGCAACTCTCCTGCCTCTGCCTCCCGAGTAGCTGGGATTACAGGCACACACTACCACACCTGGCTAATTTTTGTATTTTTAGTGGAGACGGGGTTTCACCACATTGGTCAGGCTGGTCTTGAACTCCTGACCTCAGGTGATCCGCCCTTCTCAGTCTCCCAAAGTGCTGGGTTTACAGGCATCCAGCATGAGGGACAGAGCAATCTTCTTTTCTAAAAAAAAAAAAAAAAAAAAAAAAAATTCTGAAGTTTTCCTATTACAATGAAAAATGATTAAATGACTCTCCTTTCAATCATCCTCGGGTTCTATTAGAAACCTACTAGGGATATAAAAGAAGACAGCCTCACATGGCAACACAAAAGTTTTTTTTAAAACCTATCCTATTGAAAAAAAAAAATCCAAAAGAGAAACACGGCAAATACAGTTTCAGAACACACTTAGACAAGGAGAATAAATGTATATGTGTTATGGGATGGCCACTCACCATGCACACCATGCGCTATCCTTTTTCATCCTTACAGAAGCCCAGGAAAATAGATTATTACACACATTTTACAGACAAGGAAATTGAGGTTCCAAGACATTGAAAAACTGTTGTCACAAAGCTAGAACTGGAACTCCAGCCTCCATCAGTCTGACTCTGAAAGCTTGCTGTTTCTAATAAAATAGCAACTATTTCACATGCTTCTTATCTGCTTTGGGAAGCTCTCCTCTGCATTCACTGAGAAGTATCTGAAAATCTACCTCCTACTTTGGGCATCTGTATAATCCTCATACCAAAGAGGCATTCACACTCAACCCCACAAGGCCAATGGGGCAAGGTAGGGTTGTGAAGCTGGGACTTGCCTTGACACTCAATCCTTGGAAAATGAGAACATATACCTTTCTCCAGCACACAGAACACCTTTGAATGAACCCATATCTCTCACAGACATGTACATCACCTTGCTTTCTCTGGGCTGACCAAGAACAGCCAGATTGTAATGACAACACCCCCACAGAATGATCAGGGTCCATCAGCACACTTTGAGGCTGAGAGCAAACGACCATTAGACAGAACTGTTGATCCTTACAACTGCTGAAAAGTCTGCATAGAAAGAGCCTCTGTTCCAGCCAAATTGGTCTGTTCGCTGTTCCCACTCCCAAAATTGCATTTCTCTACATTTCTTCACCTCTGTGACTGTGCACATTGTTCCTTCTGTTTGATATAACACCCTTTTTCCCTTAGCTGCTGGAATTCTGCCTGTGCTTCAAGAGCACTCTATGTGGTCTTCCTTAACCACTAACCTAATGCATTTAATTCAGTGAACTTAACACCTTTACGTAATTTTGAAATTAGCTCCATACTTCATTGTAACACCAATCTACTATTTCTTTATTATTGACTTTTTATTCTTTAGCTTTCTATGTGGTTATGCCTTGTTTCCTGCATTGCCAAACTCCCTCATATATCCTTAGAAGATTTTGTTCCTTTGATTTCTCCACAAAACCTTACATGGCACCTAGAACAGAGTAGGTGCTTCATAAATATTTTCAGTGGACTACTACAGAGGAACCCAGTATTAAAAATTAAAATTGTTTAGGTTACCTAATGATTATTAATTTGAATTCAATGATAGAGTGATCTTTCTTCAATTTAAAACCCATTGCCTAGGGGACTTTAGCCCAAGTTTTTAACATGGCATTGAAGCTTTGCAATGACCTGGCTTCTACCTGCCTCTATAATACCACCCCTCATTGCCCAACCCAAACTCTCATCCCTTCCGCATACACGCTTTTATGTTCCAACCACTTACCTACCCACGTGTTGATTCTTAAAAATCATAGCAACCTCTTTCTGAAATGTTATTCTTCCATCCCTTACTCCTTCATATTCGGCATGTAAAATACTCAGATTTTTTTCCTTATACAACAATCATCTTTTCCAAAGCCTTTCCTGGCTACCACAACACTTAGCAGAATGACTACTCTTACCTTTATTTCCTGATTACAACCTTCTAGCACTGCATCTTCAATACTTTATTATATTTATTTGTCTATCTTCCCTACTAGCTTATGTGATTTTTACAATGAAAATCCTACACTACTCACCTTAATATTCCCAGTGTCAAGTATAATCCCCACATAAACACACCGTAAATGTTTATTGAAGGTTGTTAAACATAACTAATTAACTTGCTTGATGACTAAATATGATAGAATGTGATTTTATTCTAAGTCTACCAGAAGACAAGTGAGAAAGATACTCATGATTGGTCCTTAGAGAGCAAACAAGAAAGCCACTTTGACCAAAGTAAATTCTTAATGCAAAGTAAATTCATGAATGTGTTTAACAGAAACGAGGCCTCAGTTAGATGAAAGTTTTCATGGGGCTACAAACTCTAAATTCCAAGACATTTTGTATGACCCATTAACTCTAAGGAGATTTTCAAAAGCAGAAAGAGCTTTCTTACCTGTGCTCCAGTTCTCGAATGGACAGTATTACTCCTGAAGTGGATGGCTTCTGCTGTACAGTGGCCAAAAAGGTGAATTCACTCTTGTTCCGGAACAGCTGAATTAATTTCTCACTCACATGAGGAGCTGCATGGATCTCTCTTTCCATGTCTAGGAATCAAGAGGAAGATCAGGAGAAACAGGAGAGAAGAAGGAGAGGAGAAGAGGAAGGAGAAGGAGAAGGACAGAGAAGAAATACAGGAGAAAGAGGAGAGGGGAGATGAGAAGGAAGGGGAGAAAAGATCCACGGTTAAAAATGTCATGTCCAAAGAATCCAGATTGCATTTTTCATTTTCCTCTTCTGTCAATAGTTTTCATTTTCAGGCACCATTCACCACTCCCTACAGCTGCATTCATTCAATGCAAATCCCGGAAACGCTATCTCTGTCACCGTGCCCACTTGTCACTTTGACAAGTTCACAAATGGCCAGTGATTTCTGACAGGAATTTTGACGGGACACTGAGCAATTCAGTTTGCTGCAAACAGATTAGGTTGCTGTAAATAAGGTGAGAGATAGTCGGATAAATGTGGTCCTAAATTCAGAGAATCTTGGATAATAAGACCCGAATGCCACTCAGCATCCTCCAATTTCACTTTTTCCATGGACACAGCTTCCTTCTCCCCACAATGTATATAGGAAACCTGTCCTTGCCTTGTACCTAGCAGATATTTACTAGCACTAATAATGCCAGACAACTCTGCCTTTGCTTAAAGAATAAATACAAGGCATGCTCATGCTCCACATGCGTGCTTGGAATTTCTCCATAAACATGCAATGGATGACTTTCCTCATGAAATATTTATTGAAGTTGAAGCCAATTCAGCAGGCCTAGAGGTGTGTGATTCCAGCTAATCCTGCTCCTGGACAAGAATGTTTCTTTATCCAACATCAGCATAATGAGAGACATCCATCACTTCATACCCAGACTCACCCTTGTCATGATAAACTAGGTGTTATCTCATTATTTTACACTACATTTTCTGGCATCAGAAAGGGACATTAAGGGAGCAAAGTTAGAGAAGATTATTCAGAGGATGATAAATGAACATTATAAGTGCGTTTGGTGGCCTCCTCTCACATTCTGACCACCTCCTCTGACTGCATGATAACTACTTGGTTATTTCTCCAGGACTACATGGGAAGCCCTTGAAAAACATAGAACTTCAAAGGCTGCACTGCCCAAGCAACATCACAGACTGGTCTATGGACCTTGAAGAATCTCATCCTAAAGAGTGGCTTCTGAATAAGATATCCTTCAATTCTTGACCTTGGGCCTCAGTTCTCTCATCTGCAAAATGAGGGAGTAGACTAGGTGATCTCTTAGAGCCTTCCACCTTAGCCTTCTATAATTTTTTGAATTGCTGCTTCAATTTTATAACACAGAAAAGAACAGCACAGTCTTTTCCACCTGTAAATATCTAGACTATGAATGGCAGAAAGCAATGTTTGTCCTCTATCTTGGAGACACCCAACTCAGGTAGACCAGTCTACCAGTATAAAACCTACCTGCACAATAGTAGCAAGGCCTTCGCTACTTAATTGTTAAGTGGCATGCTGTCAGCTTTTGTCAAGCTTTGAGATAAGAGATAGCCACTTGAAAAATGCTTCTATACCTTCTACAAAATCCCAGCCAAAGACATTCCAGATGATATTTAAAACCTATTAAATGTGTGGGTGAATCACTCTGTAAACGAGAGTATTAGAAAATGTTTGTTAATATTATTTTTATTATCATTACTTCTTTATTTTGAGATGGGGTCTCACTCTGTCACCAGGTTGAAGTGCAGTGGCATGATCTCGGCTCACTGCAGCCTCCGCCTCCCGGGCTCAAGCGATCTCCCACTTCAGCCTCCCAAGTAGTTGGGACCACAGGTATGTGCCACCATGACCATGTTTTTGTGTGTGTGCGTGTGTGTGTGTATTTCTGGTAGAGACAGGGTTTCCCCATGTTGCCCAGGCTTGTCTTGAACCCCTGATCTCAGGGGATCCACCCACCTTGGCCTTCCAAAGTGCTGGGATTGTAAGTGTGAGCCACCGCACCCTACTATCATTACTTCTAAGCAAAGATCATCTTAATAAATTCACCTATAAGTAATGCCAAAAAAAATTCAACTCTTAAAATTCAGTTATATGTTGACTTTTTACTTTTTTCTTCTTTACTCATCAGTTAGGAATCAACTGCTTGGTAGTGGATGCCTGAATTTCAGGATTCTAAAGCTTGGGACCAAAGAAAAGAGAGCCATAAGTGTTCAGCAATGCCTGCTGGAGGAAATGGATATGAATACCATATCAGCTATGGGTATCCTCACCTCTCACTCAACTCTCCCTGAGTGATATCATCCAACCCCATGACCAATGGCCTCCAACTTTATATCTGCAGCCCTAACCTCTCCCTTAAGCAGTACATTCAAATGTTCACCTTCAAGCATTTCAAATTGTAATGTGCCCACAGTGAAGCCTGTTCTCTTCCCTCTACCCTCAATTTTCTCACAGAGGTCCCAGTCTTAGTAAACGGTAACACCCTGTTCCTCAAGTCAAAAAACTAGAAATTGCCCTTGATTTTTCCCTGTTCTCCACTCTCCATATCCAATCTAAAAACAAGTCAAGTGGGCTCCCACATCTGGAATCTGTCCACTTCTTCCCAATTTCACTGTTAAAACTCTTGCCAAGCCACTATCATTGCTCCCTAGGGTGCTTCCAATGATCTCCTAACCTTCCCACTTCCATACTGCCCTCTTTTCACCATTCTTCACACAGTAGTTAACGTGCTCTTTTTAAAGCCTAAGTCCGAGTCATTTCAGCCTCCTGCTTAAAATCCTCCAATGGTTCCCCACTGCTCATAGGATAAAATCCAGTCCCTTCAGCATGCCTGCAAAGTTGCACACAAACTGATTCTTGCCTACCTCTCCCACCCCATTCATACTTTTCTCCTTGGTTGCTAGAAGAGCACACCAGGCCCACTCACACCTCAGATCTTCATGCTTGTCCCCCTGCTCACAGTGTTCTTCTCTCTCCTTTTCACGTCCCTGACTCCTTCTCCTTCAGCTTTCACTGTAAATGCAATCTTCTGGCCTCTCCAAGGCAGGCTCTGCATTAATGTCTCTCTAATACTCCAGTCTGGGTATTTTCTTCATTTGACTTGTCATATTATATGTCCTGTAATCCATTTATTATTTGCTGATATCATTTATCACAGTCTTGTTTCAAGTTTGTTACCTCATATTATTTGCTTTCTTTTCCCACTAGACTGTAAGTTCCATGAGGGCAGGCATACTTATTTATCCATTGTTTTATCCACAGTTCTTAGTACCTGGCAAAAAACAGGCATCCAATAAAGGTTTACTGAATTGATTAATGTATTTTCCATTTATTTTTCTCATTTATACTGTTACTTCAAGTAACCACATATATTATGGTCAGAAAATAATGTATCTTTTGGAAAACCAGGAGATAAATGGGTCCTTCTCAAATGCTCATGGCCATGAAAATTTATTTTAATGATGTTTGCTGCTAAATAAGCCCTACTTCTTTGTAGGACACCTCCACTTAATAGTCTGATCTAGTCCTACCATACTCACTCAACCCTCCAAGAAAACGGAACATTTCTTATACTGGCTTTTCTTATTCCTTTTTATAAATGATTGGCACACTGAAGTAAAGAGACCCCATTAGCACTCACTAGAGTGAAATGGAAGAAACATCTGTTTTGATACACTGAGGCTTTATATGCATTCTCATTTTCAGAGAAGCCCTTTCAAGTAAATTTTGACCATGATTCAGATGTTAAGAAAAATACAACAAAGTCATTCTATGTCTTACAATATGCAGGCAGAAACACTGGACAGGTGTTTCAAAGGACTGAGATCACTGTGAGTTTTGCAGATGACTAGCTGTGTGACTTTGGATAAAGTACCTTACCTCTCTGAACCTCACACTCTACATCTGAAAATTAAGACCACTAAATTCCATGATCTCCAAGTTCTTTCCTAGTCTTGACGTTTCATTTCAGTTAATCACTTGATCCTGCTCATAGCTGCATAGCAAAAGAGAGCACTGAGGGCGAATTCCATCTATTAAGAAACCTAGATTTTACAATTTTTCTCCTCTGCTGATTTTCCAAATTAACATAAAACATAAAGTTGTCAACTATTAAAAATAGTGATATGTCACCTACTTTGCAGCAACCTGCTTTATTCCTGGAGTTAAAAGAGCAACCAATGAAACCCAATTAATGGGAACCTATAGTGAATATTGTACTTCTATATTCAACCACTATAATATGTGTTTGCTGTATTACTTAAGAATATTCAATTCTGCTAGAGAGAACAAGAAAAACAAACAGGACAGATAAAGCCCATACGAAGTGCTAAATATAGAGAGCAAGTTAGAAACCTGTGAAACATGCTAAACATAGACTGAATACATGGAACATAAGTGTGTTGAATACAGATAAAAAGGATTGAATAAGAGTGTTACTTGCAAATACATGGGTTGGGAGGACCAAGTTATAATGCGCAAATCATGCCACCTTCACAATGACAGTCACGCCATCCCTAAACCAACACCCATCATTGACATCCGTTTCATTTCCATTCTGGTCCCACATGTACTATCTTTGAGAAATGCTAATAAAACCCATCACTGCTCACCAAATTAACTGGTGAATTACAGGTGTATCCAGGATTACTTGCCCTTAAGTATTTCCAATAGAGGAAGCATGTGGGCTCCGGAAATCTCCCATTCACTGAGCCCCCTCCCTTTTCGTTAACCTCAGCTCCAGTCCTCATAATCACACCATCATCAAAGAAGCTGATGCAGCAGAGAGAGAGAGAAAAAAAAAAAACAGAATATATGAGGAATGAATAACACAGGAACTGGGTGGGCTGGTGCTTCCCGCTGCTCACACTCAATCCTGCATGTGTTAACCTACTCCATCTCTTTCCCCTACTTCCTCCTAGATATTTTAAACATGATTCAAGTATTTGAATTTAGTCTGTCCATGAGGCTTCCCATTTTGTAACCTCTCGGAGTGTCCTTGGAGGCTACCATTGCATAAAAGTAGTTTCACATACAACAACCACTTCACTTAAAGTGAATATTTCACATTTT